TTTTTCATCTTATTTTACTTTATAATCGTTTGTAACTTGCATTTTACATTAAGGAACAAAACTTAAGTTTAAGTGAACTTATGGCAACTTTAGAAGTATGTCTTGCTTGTCTTTATGTAATTTGTCATTAGAGAGTAAGATAATTAACCTGAAATGTTAACTTTCTGGTCGAGTTGACTAGTATACCTATGTTATCTTAAATGAATATTGACCCAAACTTGGTTCCTATCATTTTTACTATAAAGTAATTGTCGGGAAACCTAACAACTAGAGAGGCAAGTTGAAGTTGACCTTGACTTGTCTTTCTACAAGTTTATTTGAAAAAGATATTTCTATAATCACTGAAAAACAGTTGTTTCTGGTGACAAAACAATTGTGTCACACATTAAACAGACACATACACTGTATCACACTTTATAATGACACATACGATGGGTGTCCCAGAATTATGTGGACTTTTGCTATAACTTTTTAATTTTTTAATGCATTTTTTAGCAAATTTGTATACAATACCTTTAACATATCCTTAATGAATATGTCCAATATTTTTAAATTTCTAACATTGCTTCTTTATATTTTACGTCGCTATAGTAACGCAGTATGCGCAGGGCGGGGCAGTCCAATATTTTGTATTAATAAGTTGTCTTTACTTTTGTATATCTTGTGTATTTATGTATTACGTAAAAAATGGCGCGATGTCGTAAGCATATACAGTGACGTCATATGAACGTTCGTTTGAAATTTTGACGTCTTAGCTTTTTCCGTTACTGTTTACCAGCGGACAACTGACAACCATTGCTCTTGGATATTTAACAAAAAATGACGTCCACGGATTACGCGGAACATCAGACTATCTTAAAGTTTTGTGTTAATCTTGGGAAGACGCCAACACAGACGCAGGAAATGTTGGAGACTGCAAAAGTGAGACCTCCTGTTTGTCGATCACTCGTTTTCAAGTGGCATAAGCGTTTTCGAGACGGCCGAGAGGACATTGAAGACGACAAGGGTCGTGGGAGAAAATCAACGTTGACTGTGGCGTCAATTAAGGAAGTCAAGGACGTCATAGATCGGGACAGGCGTTACACTAAGGTCAATGCTGAGTACTATTCAAGGGTAAGCAATAATTTTGTGTTTAAAAAAAAAATGATTTTTAAAAATTAAGGTAATCACAATTTATTATTTTAAACGCAATTTATCCGCTTCAGCTTTTAAGAAAGTGAACTCAAACTGCTATAGTAAGCAGTGCGCATGATAGGTTATTTCCCTTGTTAACGCACATTGTCTTTGGGTACAAAATAAACTCCACAATAGTAATAATAATAATAAAAAGAATAATAATAATAATAAAATAATGATAAATAATAATAATAATAATAATACGGCGTCAGCATTATCACCGTCGTCTTTAACACTATTATCGTAACAAGTTAATAGTATGTTTTATTATTATTATACAGGGCAGTGTACGACTAGTGGATATATCGACACCATAGGTGTATTGAGTTAGGCGGCGACTATGTTGAGAAAAACTGACATTCGATGCCACGCATTTATTAACAACTAGCGACGCCACCGGAATGACGTCGGAATGGACTGCCCCGCACCCGCTACCCCTTGTCTCATTACCCTGCCCACAGACACTGATCCAGTTGCCGGACAACTTTGAAATTGTTTGTACTAATGCAATAAAGTTGCATTTTGTTCATGTTAATTTTGTTTGTTTTTATTTTCTGTAGTTTTTGTGTTAGAGCAAAAGTCCACGTAATTCTGGGACACCCCTCGTACACTGTGTCACACTTTATACCGACACATACACAGTGTCACACTTTATACCGACACATACACAGTGTCACACTTTATACCGACACATACACTGTGTCAACACATCCACTGTGTCATACTTTACCCGACGAAAACAATTTAGAAGTTTAAACGCCAAAGATATAAATTTATAATATTAACGCTGATTTAATACATGGTAATAGTTATGACGGTAGGCAAGATTGTTAACCAGACGGCCGCCTCCCAATCGACATAACTTTTTTTGTCTGCCACAGTAAATTTTGTCAAGATTTATCCTCCAAATAAATTACCGATGAACACTTAATTTAAATTTTCAACAATTGCATCTTTCAAATAGTCTTAATAAAACTCCATTACAGTATTTAAATAAATACCATCAGGCCGAAAGGAAGAGGTGTTGTCAATCTCAGTAGTAATAATTGCCCCTTTCCCAGATTGCTTTACAATTCTTCAACCTAATCTATTAAGACGATTTCTCTTTAAGTTTAAAGGGTTGATTTCCTTTTTAGGCCAAGTGCGTGGGAGAATATCCATTCACACAAGAAGCTGTCTGCGAAAGCATTACGCAAATAGTCAATTTTCCATTTTATAAGATTTTTTATGTCAGGTGTTTTAAGAGATTTCAAGACATTTCCCCCAAGTTTAAATTATTACCATTTTAGGTGGCTAAGAAAAAAGAACCTGCACTTCAATGTGATGTCTCAATCCTGACCAACCAAGGCCTCTTTTTCCCCACCATGCAACTGACACACAATCGATCTTTAAATTGCTCTTTCTAGTTTCTGGTGCATGTACCCTGGCCCAATAAGGTAAGAAATCACCTAACACCCAGACATCTCCGTCAGACTGTAAGGACGTGTCTTCTTTAAGGGAGTCACGGTCCTCCTCTGCCTGCCTTTTCTGACCCCTTGTCTGCACATTAGACTGGTTTGAAGCATTAACTGGTCTTCCTCTACCACATGCCGTTACAAACGACAAGTTTTCTGATGTCAAATCCGAAGAGTTAATTTGAATTGTACTCGGACAGTGAGTTGTAAATTGAGAGACCAATGCACAAGTTTCACGTGCTTATATACTTGTTGACAGTGGTATTGGTTCCGTGTACCATCTTACACATATGTACACAAGAAATCGAATCAGTGATAATAAAAATTTCACTCAAGCGAGATTGAAACAATTTCTTGAAAAAGTAAAGGAAATTATTTTAAGGGAAAAATACTTTATACTAATGGATAATTTGTTTATTAGTATTGCTTTAAAGTTAGTAAGAAGTGAACTGAATAACGTGTATTATATTGTTTATGAAAGCAGGCAATATTTTACATAATATAGACAAACCCTGTCAACCACCTTTCAATGAAGAATGACAAAAATAAATCAGATAGTTCTCAATAATTATTATATGACCAATATGAATATCTTCATAACAATATTTTGATTTTGATAAGCATTATATTAATATTTAAAAGTCAACTTTAAATATGTCATTCATAAATGAAAAAGAATGAAAATAATCAATTATTACACTTGTTTAAAAGTGTTTTACTAATATAACTGAAATAAGATTTTATTTAACACTAAAAACCAATTTTTAGCTCACCTGAGCTAGCTCAGGATGAGCTTTTAGGATCGTTTTTCCTCGTGTTAAAATTCTTTTGTAGGGTTTTGTCCACTCTATAAAATTCATGTGTAGGGTTTTGTCCATTTTATAAAATTCATGTGTAGGGTTTTGTCCACTCTGTAAAATACATGTTTGCAGGGTTTTGTCCACTCAATAAAATTCACATGCGGGGTTTTGTCCACTCTTCAAAATTAATGTCTGGGTTTTTGTCTGCTCTATAAAATTCATGTGTGGGGTTTTGTCCACTATAAAATTCATGTGTGCGGTTTTGTCCGCTACAAAATTTTGGGAAGAGTAGATAACTAATTTGTAAAATCAGTTAAAATATTTACATTTACTACTGTCCATTTAGCACATTACTTTATTTTAGTTAAATAACCTGGTTATGTTCAATTACCTGGTAATGTTCGATTAACCTGGTAATTATAATAAGTTCAATAAAATATTTTACAAGAATAAAAAACTATTGATTGATGAATAAAATGTTATTAAATTAAAACATTCCTTAAAAAATACTACACAATTTTATTATTATCAATAGAATTTATGGTACTTTAACAAAATCTGAAATATTACTACTTTTTTATGAATCTTTGAAAGTCATGAAGATATTTGTTGAAATTAAAAGTAAGTGCTTTAGAAGTGGCGGCATGACCGAGTGGTTAATGTGTTGCTATCCGAGTCATACCCTGTCAGGGGCAAGACGTTGTTTCTTTGAGCAAGAAACTTTACACTCATTGCTTAGTACCGGTTGGTTCCAGGAACGGATTTGAAAATGTGTCTATAAGCTATAAGCTTCCTACACAATCGAAAAAAATAATTTCTGTATGAATGAAAAGTAACTACTATACAAACTGAAACATTGTCCAGTGCATAAATGGTCTAGTACACTAGAAGTGAACTTCAAAGTGCACTTGATGTGCAATTACTTTTATTCTGTTGTCTGTACTATTACAATTGAAATGTAAGGAAATACTGTTGTTCCTGCTAGTGCACATTATTAACTGTTCAGTACTTAAGATTGAATGTTTTTCATTCTTAGTTTAGGTAAATTGTTAAGCATGTTAATGAAACTATTTAATCACATCGCTATAGTTTTATGTGAAGAGAATTAAAAAAACTTTGACTATGCTTTCATCTTTAAGATTGAATATGTCGAAATATGTTACTCAATTGTGAATATATATTTAGGTCATCCTTAACTAAGTGCAATAATTCTCACAATCTGTCATCTGTCTTTGTAGTTTATGTTTTCATTTACAGTTTGCTTTTCACAGCATATTACCATGATACTACTTAGACAATGATGATCAAAGTTGATGGCTATACTACTTGCATAAAATCTTATAGATATTTCATTAATACCATTCTATGCAGTTCTTTGGTTGCCATGGCAACATAATCAAAGCTTCAATTGGAACTGTAAAAGGTTTTGAGCTTAGACAAAATTCTAAGCCTAATGGATCATATCAAGAATGTTCAAAATATTTTTATTTCTCAAGGGCCAACAATTTTATCATTCGAATGATTGCATGCTTTTACAAGGAATAAAAAAAATATTTTTAAATACTTTCAGGAATGCGTGACAATCCCATGTACGTATCTGCAGGGCCACGCGATCAATCAGCAGGTGGAAGTGGGCAAAGTGGTGCTGAGGTTGAATATTCAACTGTTAACAAGCAAAAGACTCCTGTTATAGTCAATCAAAATGATGTTTATGCAGAAGTGGACAAATCAAAGAAATTGAAGGCCAACAATGGTATGTAGAGAACCTTGAAAGTGTTGAACTAGTCATTACACTATAGTCAAGCACTTTTTGTTCTAAACATTTGACTTTATATTATTGTGGATTTTCTTAATGAACTAAATTAACAACAACATTAAGGATATAGAGTAGTAAGACCCATCCCTTGTGCACAATGGTAACAAATGTTATGAAAAAACATAATTGATAGTGTCTCTTATCAAAGTAAATGCTTCTGTTCATGAGTAATCTATGCGCAAATTTCATTAAAAACTAGACGTTCTTCATTGTCTGCACTATAAATAGAACAAGTAAAATAATTGTGGTAATGTCCTAACTAAACAAATGCTCAGCATACCGAGGCCATCTATTTAGACTTTTTGCAGATAAAAAGTATTTGTAAAATTTAAAGATTAAACTGACTACAAAAACACAGGTTAAAGATGAACATTTCAGTAAGAAATGTATAATTTATAATCTAAACTGGACTATACCTGTTAATCAGTCAAAATTTGGCTATTTTATCTGATAACTTTGGTTTACATCCCTTTTCTCTGCTTGGATAGGGTCAGTGACCATGCAGGAAGTTAAATGAACAGTCAAATTTTAGATTAGGGATAATAAAGTTAAAGTAGAGCACTTTTTGTCCGTTATTTTTATTAAATCACCTGAGCACAACCTGCTCATGGTGAGCTATTGTGATCCCCCACCGTCAGTCATGCGTCATCAACAATTTCTTTAAACAGCATCTCCTCTGAAACCAAAGACTGCAAAGTAGCCAAACTTTACAGGAATGATCCTTTGGTGGTTCCCTACCAAACTTGTTCAAATGGTTCCGGTCTGTTGTAGAAAAGGAGTTTCAAAAATGAAAACTTAAAAAATTTACTTGCCTGAAAGTCCCAGAGCTTTTATACTTGGTTTATGATATCATCTTTAGGCTCATCAAATTTTGCCCCTAGTATCAAAATAGAACTGGGGGTCATAGTTTTTTCTTATAATTATGTAAATATAGTAAAAACTTAAGACAATTATTCTCCTCTTAATTGACAAAGGCTAGAGGTAAGATATTTGGCATGAAGAATTGTGTAGTGAAACTCTACCAAGATTATCAAAGTATAGCCCTGGGGTCAAAATTTGCCAGCTCAGGGGTTATGGGTTTTCCTTCTATGTATATAGTAAACACTTAAAAAACTATTTGTCTGAAGGTACACTGCTTAGAGCTTAGATATTTCGTATATAATATCATCTATAGGTCCCCTATCATAGTTGTTCAAAGTTTGCCCCTATTGTTTAAAGTGGCCCTTACACAAGTACATGATGTCTTCAGGTGAGAGCTTTGGGGCCAATGGCCCCCTTGTTTAGTAAGATATTCTTTAAATCATTATATTTGCACCAAGCATTGATCTGACAACTTTAAATTCCTGCAGTAAGAAGAAGAAAACGCCAGTCATTCACCTTCCCCAGTTTAAAGCATTTGGGGTTCTTCTCAATGGAAGGGCAGTTTCAATCTGAACATTTGATTTTACTTTACTTTTTGCAACTTCAGATATTTTTAACCTTTTAAGATATTTTCAAGAACTTTCACTTAGGTCTTAGACATCATAATTGTTGTACTCTTTGTAAGGCCCATAACTCCAGCATTGAATTGCACCCTATCCAATCCCTTTGTAAATTTTAATCATTCCTGATGAAAAGTTGAGCATTTGCATGTAAGATATTTTTAAAAACTGTTTATGCCACCGCAGCATCTGCGATGCGGTGGCATATAGCGATTCACCTGTGTGTGTATGCGTGTGTGTGTCAGTGGGTTAGTGTGTGTGTGTTTGTGTGTGTGTTATATAGATTATATAGTGAAATTATAAAATCTTCTTGTGAAAAACCACTAGTCCAATTTCAACCAAACTTGGCAGGCTTGTTCCTTGGGTGAAGGACTTCTAAAGTTGTTCAAAGAATTTCATTCCATGCAGAAATCTGGTTGCCATGGCAACCAAAAGGAATTATAAGAATAAATTTCAAAAATCTTCTTGTAAAGACCTAAAAGGCCTAGAGCTTAGATATTTTGCATAGGGCATTGTCTCGTAGACCTCTAACAAGATTGTTCAAATTATAGCCCTGGGGTCAAAATTGGCCCCGCTCCGGGGTCATTGATTTTCACTATATGTGCATATAGTAAAAACTTAAAACACCTTCTTGTAAAGACCCAAAAGGCATAGAGCTTAGATATTTTGCATAAGGCATTGTCTGGTAGACCTCTACCCAGATTGTTCAAATTATAGCCCTGGGGTCAAAATCGGCCCCGCCCCGGGGGTCATTGGTTTTCCTTATATGTATATAATAAAAACTTATAGTAAAAACTTAAAACAAATTTTTCTAGCAATTGACAAATGCTAGAGGTTAGATATTAGATATTTTGCATGAAACGTTGTGTAGTAGACCTCTAGCAAGATTGTTCAAATTATAGCCCTGGGGTCAAATTGCCCCCGCCCTGGGGGTCATTGATTTCAATATATACATATAGTAAAAAATCAAAAAATCTTTTTGTCTGAATGACAAGGCTTAGAGCTTTAATATTTGTTAAATAATATCATCTAACGGTAATCTACCAAAGTTGTTCAAATTTTGCTTCTTGTGTCAAAATTAGCCCCGCCCCCGGGGGGCATAGGTTTTCCTTATATGTATATGGTGAAAACTTAAAAAATCATCTTCTCTAAATTTACAAAGGCTAGAAATAAGATATTTTGCATGAAACATTGTGTAGTGAACCTCTAGCAAGATTGTTCAAATTATAGCCCTGGGGTCAAAATTGGTTCTGTCCCGGGGGTCATTGATTTTCAATATGTACATATAGTGAAAAAATAAAAATATTTTTGTGTGAAGGTACAAGGCATGGAGCTTTGATGTTTGATATATAATATCATTTATAGGTCCTCTACCAAAGTTGTTTAAATTTTTCCCCTGGTGTCAAAATTGGCCCTGCCCGGGGGCAATGGTGCTCATTATGTACACATAGTAAAACAGAAAATAAAACAAATGTTTTCTGAATGGGAGAAAGCTATAGCTTAGATATTTGACTTGAAATGTTGTTTGGTGGACCTGTATCAAGATTGTTTTGAATTAAACTCTTGGGTCAAAATTATGCCTTGCACGAGTGGACATAGACCTACGTTCTTGTCCTTTGATGTACAGCAATGACATGTTGACCATGTGCACAGTTTTAGTTGTAAAATTGAACTTTGATATCAGGCCCGGCTTTCACTAACGTTCTCAACGTAAAAATCTCAGCTCAAATCTGAGATTTTTCTCAAATCAGAAATCGAGATTGAGATTTCTCTCAGTTTGGCTTTCACTAAAAACTATTGAGAAAAATCTCAACTTAAGATTTGAGATTTTTCTCAGATATATTGAGACAAGGTTTGGCTGTCTCAGATTATGTCTCAGTGAAGCTTAATTATTATTCTCAGGGGTATTTTTACTTTTTGCATGGTTATGTTGATAAATAAATATAATTTGACCTTTTTGGCAATTAAATTCCTATTATTTTCATATATTTAGTAATATATTGACTGATTATTGTGGGTGACATCATGCGCTCTAATTCATGACGTCATGAAATTATGACGTCACAATTATCATACTGAAAATGATTTTGTTTTCTTTTGATGTACATTCATTCTTGATAAATCATTTTCATAAGTATTCAAATATTCACACATTTGCAATTCCTTTTTGTTGTTTTTGTTATTGTTTGTTTCTTGTTGTTGTTGTTGCTGTTCTTTTTAAATAAAACAAGAAAATATAGATCTTCTTAATGTAATAAATATACAAAACATTTCCCTGTTGCGTCATCTTACATCAAAACAGCAACTATATTAATATATACTACGTAACAAAAAGGAACACTCTATGTTTTAGTCATAGAAGCCCATCAACAATGTACACTAAGATAGCCGCTTATGTCTTGAGAAAAAAAAAACAGTCTCAGTTGAGAAAATTCTCAAATGTTGAGAAAAAGTTTAGTGAAAGCCAACTTGAGATTTTTCTCAGGTGAGTTAGAATCTCAGTCAATACTGAGACAATCTTAAGTTGAGATATATCTCAGTTTGAGAACGTTAGTGAAAGCCGGGCCAGGTGACCTAGATTTTAATGATGTGACCTACTTTCTTTTCCATGAACAGCTATGAAATTTGAACCATGCGATGGCATAGCATTTTTCTCAAATGCAATCTTGTTTAAATTTCTGATTAATGGTTTGAACTAATGAGGGTATAGATGAAATAACACATGTCTTTGGGATCATAACTGATGGTAACTGTCAAAGCATCATAAATCTGGCATAGATTTTAACTGAAATGTAATAACTTTAGGAATTCCATGTTAATGTTTTGTATGTTGGATGAATATCCACAACTATTGATGATCCATCATAATTTTGGTTCACTTACCAATCAAACATGGCTTTTGAATTAATTATTACCCCTTGTGAACTTTGCAAATTCCTTATTGAAGATTGTAATGAAAAATCACTGTGAAAAACTACTGAAGATATTCATGTTAATCTTCACATAATTATTGTAAAACACTGTTTAAGACCTATAACTGCAGCAAAGAAATTAAAGAATTTTACACTCATCACAGGGATTATAATTAATAATAATAGTATATTTTGAAGACTCATAACTCTAGCATCTATTTTGCATGAATTATAGCCCTTGTTAGCTTGAAATGGTTTGATTGACATACAGTATCAGTCTCCACCACAACATTATGCTTTTACATGGTAGGTCATTGTCAAAGACTGGATATAGACTAAATAAGAATGAATCATTTATGCACTTAAAATTTTAAACTCTGTCATAGATTGTGATTTGTTTGATCCTGGCCTTAAGTTAAAATTAGACTTGCCAGGGGTCACTTGAATTCACTTCTCTAAGGGAAGCATATGACTTTAAGCTAAGATTATTTGGCATTGTCTATTAACTTTCATACATGTATATTTGTTTTGTTTGGTTTACTTAAGGTCTCTTAAAATGCAATTTATTTGTAAGAGTTGCATAAAAAATATATGTTCTTGAATACTTTCAGGGAAGAAAGACAAAAAAGAAAAGAAAGGCTTAGTGAAAAATAAAAAAGGGAAGAAAACAGCTCAAGAAGGTATAAATATAACATGCTGATAAGAATTATGTCTCCCATAATTTTTGGGAGACATATTGTTTTTGCCTTTTGCCATCTGTCTGTCCTGTTGTCAGTCCAGTTGTCCGTCCATCCGCATTTAGCTTGTCCGCCCTTTACAGGTCAAACTAGATGTGAGATTTCAACCAAACTTTACAGGAGTGATCAGTACCATCCATAGTTGTGCATATAGCACATTCCGCTTCACTGCACAAAATGGCTGCGAGAGCTTAAAATAGAAAAATCTTGTCCGGCCTTCACAGGTCAAGCTACTGGTGAAATTTCAACCAAACTTTACAGCAGTGATCAGTTATATCCCTAGTTGTGCACATCACTGGCATGTTTTGCTTGGCTGCACAAAATGGCTGCTAGAGCTAAAAATAGAAAAATCTTGTCCGGCCTTCACTGGTAGGATTTCAACCAAATTTTACAGGAGTGATCAGTACTATCCATAGTTGTGCACATCACCGCCACATTCCGCTTCACTGCACAAAATGGCCGCCAAAGCTTAAAATAGAAAAATCTTATCTGGCTTTCACAGGTCTAACTACTGGTGGGATTTCAACCAAACTTTACAGGAGTGATCAGTACCATTCCTAGTTGTGCACATCACTGGCACATTCAGCTTCGCTGCACAAAATGGCCGTTAGAACTTTAAATAGAAAAATTTTGTCCAGCTTTCATAGGTCAAGCTACTGGTGGGATTTCAATGAAACTTCTCATGATTGACCATACATAGTTTTGGGAGAGATATGTTTTTGTGATAAAAAACCTTTCTAGTTGTTATCTAAAGTTACACTGACACTGTAAAGGTCTGCTTTACTGCTGGAGACAGATCTAAGGTGCCCCTTTGTTCATTATTTCAGGCACAATCTGACACCTGAAGAGAACAAATAAAATTCCATAAGCTACATGTACCTGGATATCTTCCTTTCATTAGAGTCCAAAGCCCCTGACCGGATTTTAACCCTTAGCAGGGAGGGGCAAGTGCTTTGAAGTCTACCGCCTTAACCACTCTACCACAGAGGCCCTTGCTTATAAGATAATGTCAAGGTTCATAAGGTCACATTTCTCAGGACTTTCAGTAGTCTTTTTGTGATAAATTCTTGTACGTAATTCATTAGAAACAATTGGCTAAACAAGATCTTCTGGATAAATGAAATCCTCCAAAATGTTCAAGATTGACAGTCAGACTTAATAAAGTCATATATGATATATTTTTACAAAAATAATGCTTTAGTGACCATAAATATCAGTCTTATTTTTAAATTTATACTGTATAATACTGTAGATTCTGGTTGATATTCATATACACTTATCATTTTCCCTTAAATATTATAGTAAAAATTAAAACAATCATCTCCAAAACTACAAGAAACAGGGCTGGGAATCAAAACTGTAAACAAACGCCGCCATCTTGGAACGAAAAATGTATGTTTTTGTTTATAACTCTTTTTGTTGGTAATGACTGAAAACAAAATATATGTATTAACACACTCCACTATTTTTCCGCTTCGTTTGGTATATGTTGTTGGCACAACTATTTTGTATAACAAAAGTTATAGCGAACTTGCAACTTGAAGTGGAGCAGAATTTCTATGAAATTGTATGGATACGACGCAGTTCATATTGCTTTATCTATCGATTTTTCCTTCAAATTTATTATAGACGCGTTTCAGAGTTCACTATAATTTTAAAAATATGATTTGCATCATTTAATTACTAAAATTTCATTAAATAGAAATGTTTATTTTCCAAGAAAATAATAATCTGTACGAAATGATATGATGCACTTGAAAATAAAATATGATGCGATGCATATTGGTTCAGCTATTAAATTATGCGTTAAGTATCCTAGTAATGTCCAAAAACTTTTTTTTGTTTGCGAGTTTTAGCTCGACTTTTTTTTTTTTTTGAAAAAAAAAGTAGAGGTATTGTTATAGTCGGGTCGGCGTTGCCGTTGCCGTTCCCGTCCGCAAACTTGTACCTGGATCATAACTTTTTTATTTCTTGGTGTATCGTCTTCATACTTGGCCACAACAACCCTTGGGACAAGACCTTTCAGTAGACCACACTAACCATGACCTTTATCCATAAATGACCTTGACCTTCAAGGTTAAAAGTCCAATTTTTGCTTGTTAATGCTGTTATTAGCTGTAACTTTGTTATTTTTGAATGGATTGTCTTCAAACTTGAACATAATAATCTTCAAGATTATCCCTTAAAAATAACCAGCCAGACCTTGACCTTCCCTCATAAATGACCTTGACTTTGAAGGTCAAATTATTGAAATTTTCATGTTTTTGGCTATTATTGGCTGTAACTTTGTTATTTTTGAATGGATTGTCTTGAAACTTGAACATAATAATCTTCAAAGATAACTGTTAAAAATATACCGAAAGACCTTGACCTTCACTCATTAATGACATTGTCTTTGAAGGTCAAATTATTGAAATTTTCATTGTTTTGACGGTAACTGACTGTAACTTTGCTATTATTGAAGAGATCAACTTCATATTATAACAACATTCTTAAGGACCAGACCTTGTTGTTTATCAAACCCAAATTTGCTTGGGCTCTTTAATGACCTTGACCTTGAAGGTTATATTACTGAATTTTCTCAGATTTGTGCAATAAATGACCATAATTATATATTTATTGGTGTGTGTGTGTGTGTATAAATATATATATATATATATATACATATCTATCATCATCATCATCATTAACAACAACAACAACAACGTGTTTGTCCTTATAGAATTGCGTGTTTCTATTTTTAGAATTGCGTGTTACTATTTTTAGAATTGCGTGTTACTATTTATAGAATCAGGTGTTTCTATTTTTAGAAATTGCGTGTTTCTATTTTTAGAAATTGCGTGTTTCTATTTTTAGAATTGCGTGTTTCTATTTTTAGAATTGCGTGTTCCTATTTTTAGAATTGCGTGTTACTATTTATAGAACTAGGTGCTTCTATTTTTAGAAATTGCGTGTTTCTATTTTTAGAAATTGCGTGTTACTATTTATAGAAATTGCTTGTTTCTATTTTAAGAATTGCGTGTTTCTATTTTTAGAATTGCGTGTTACTATTTTTTGAATTGCGGGTTACAATTTATAGAAATTGCGTGTTACTATTTTTAGAATTGCGTGTTACTATTTTTAGAATTGCGTGTTTCTATTTTTAGAATTGCGTGTTTCTAATTTTAGAATTTTGTGTTTTTATTTATAGAATTGCGTGTAACTATTTTTAGAATTGTGTGTTAATATTTATAGAAATTGCTTGTTTCTATTTAAAGAATTGCGTGTTTCTATTTTTAGAATTGCGTGTTACTATTTATAGAATTGCGTGTTTCTATTTTTAGAATTGCGTGTTACTATTTTTAGAATTGCGGGATACTATTTATAGAAATTGCGTGTAACTATTTTTAGAATTGCGTGTTACTATTTTTAGAATTGCGTGTTTCTATTTTTAGAATTGCGTGTTTCTAATTTTAGAATTTTGTGTTTCTATTTTTAGAATTGCGTGTTACTATTTTTAGAATTGTGTGTTAATATTTATAGAAATTGCGTGTTACTATTTTAAGAATTGCCTGTTAATATTTTTAGAATTGCCTGTTTCTATTTTGAGAAATTGCGTGTTTCTATTTTTAGAAATTGCGTGTTTCTATTTTTAGAAATTGCGTGTTACTATTTATAGAAATTGCTTGTTTCTATTTAAAGAATTGCGTGTTTCTATTTTTAGAATTGCGTGTTACTATTTATAGAATTGCGTGTTTCTATTTTTAGAATTGCGTGTTACTATTTCTAGAATTGCGGGTTACTATTTATAGAAACTGCGTGTTACTATTTTTAGAATTGCCTGTTACTATTTTTAGAATTGCGTGTTTCTATTTTTGGAATTGCGTGTTACTATTTTTAGAATTGCGTGTTACTATTTTTAGAACTGCGTGTTACTATTTATAGAATTGCGTGTTACTATTTATAGAATTGCGTGTTTCAATTTATAGAATTGCATGTTACTATTTATAGAATTGCGTGTTACTATTTATAGAATTACTTGTTACTATTTATAGAATTGCGTGTTTCTATTTATAGAATAGCGTGTTTCTATTTAGAGAATTGCGTCTTTCTATTTATTGAATTGCATGTTTCTATTTATAGAATTGCGTGTTTCTATTTACAGAATTGCGTGTTTCTATTCATATATATATATACAAAATAGATAAACAAAACTAATGTGACAAGACAGACCAACGAAATTTATAAAAAAAGGAAACGTTAAGAAATGTTCAAACCTTTCTATGTTTGCATTTAGAAAAAGTAAAAAGTCGATCGTTGCCCCCGCCCGGCGGTGGCTCTTGTTTTTATTATTATGAACGCGCACAAGTGACCTTGTTTACGTCTAATGTCGAGAGCAGATGTCACTTATTGGTCCCACGAAAATTAAAATTTTAAATGTTAAATAAAAATTTCATCAAAGCTTTATTTTTCAGTTGTATTTTTAGCACCTGTTTCACTACAAGTTCTGAAAAGGTGTATCAAATACATTGAAACACGTGATCGCACACCCATATGCTTATAAACTTGTTCCTGTGAGTTCGAAACTAATAGGGGTGGTTACTTTTTTAGCTCACCTGTCACAAAGTGACAGGGTGAGCTTTTGTGATCGCTTTTCGTCCGGCGTCCGTCCGTCCGTCGTCCGTAAAACTTTTGCTTTAAATGACATCTCCTCATAAACCACTAAGCCAATTTCATCCAAACTTCACAGGAATGTTCCTTTGGTGGTCACCTTTAAAAATTGTTCAAAGAATTTAATTCCATGCAGAAAAAAACTTTAAATATCTTATTCTAAAAAACCCGAAGAGCTAGAGCTTAGATATTTGGCATGAAACATCTTCTAGTGAGAGTCTACCAAGTTTGTTAAAATAAAAGCCCTGGGGTCAAAATTGGCCCCGCCCCAGGGGGTCATTGATTTTCCCTATATGCATATAGTAAAAACTTAAAAAATCTTCTTTTAAAGAACCCAAAGAGCTAGAGCTAAGATATTTGGGATGAAACATCTTCTAGTGAGTGTCTACCAAGTTTGTTCAAATAAAAGCCCTGGGGTCAAAATTGGCCCCGCCCAAAGGGGTCATTGATTTTCCCTATATTCATAAAGTAAAAACTTAAAAAATCTTCTTTTAAAGAACCGAAAGAGCTAGAGCTAAGATATTTAGCATGAAACATGTTCTAATGTATGTCTACCAAGTTTGTTCAAATATGAGCCCTGGGGTCAAAATTGGCCCCGCCCCGGGGGTCATTGATTTTCCTTATATGTGTATAGCAAAAACTTAAAGAAAACTTTCTTGAAAAAATAACCAAATAGCTACAGTTTAGATACTAAGCATGAAACATCTTCTAGTGATTGTCTACCAAGTTTGTTCAAATAAAAGCCCTGGGGTCAAAATTGGTCCCGCCCCGGGGGTCATTCATTTTCCTTATATGTGTATAACAAAAACTTAAAAAATCTTCTTTGAAAAAACTCAAATAGCTAGAGTTTAGATATTAAGCACAAAGCATTTTCTAGTGAATGTCTACCAAGTTTGTTCAAATAAAGGCCCTGAGGTCAAAATTAGCCTCGTCCCGGGGACATTAATTATCCTTATGTGAATAGCAAAAACTTAAAAATCTTCTTTGAAAAAACCCAAATAGCTAGAGTTTAGATATTAAGCATGAAACATTTTCTAGTAAGTGTCTACAAAGATTGTTCAAATAAAAGCCCTGGGGTCAAAACTGGCCCTGCCCTAGGTGTGTCATTGTTTTAATCTATATGTGTAAAGAAAAAACTTGAAATATTTTCTTTTAAAAAATTCAACGAGCTAGACCTTAGATGTTTAGCATGAAACATCTTCTAATGGGTGTCTACCAAGTTTGTTCAAATAAAAGCCCTGGAGTTTAAACTGGCCCCGCTCCAGGGGCCTATATACAGGTGAGCGACTTCAGGGCCATCATGGCCCTCTTGTTCATAATAATGCGCAAATTGCATGGCTTCCTTTGTTACTTAAAATTATCAACATTTGCGACAATGCCGTTATTACTTATGTCTTTTACGTGCCGATTTTATTGAATTAGTTTTCTTAATTATCGATGAGAGCAGATAAGCTTTATTATTTGAAACTTAAATTGGTATTTGAAATAAAGTATTATTCCTCTTTTAATACATGATTGGGAAAACTGGTCATGTATTCTGAACATTAAATTTTTAAAATTATATTATAAATGGTTAAGCTGCAAGTAAGGTATGTGTTTCGTTCAGTCATTTTTAGCTCGACTTTTTTTTTGAAAATAAAAGAAGAGGTATTGTTATAGTCGCGGCGGCGTTGCCGTTGCCGTAGCCGTTGCCGAAGCCGTTGCCGTCCGCAAACTTGTTCCTGGATCATAACTTTTTTATTTCTTGGTGTATTGTCTTCATACTTGGCGACAACAACCCTTGGGACAAGACCGTTTAGTAGACCACACTTACCTTGACCTTCATCAATAAATGACCTTTACCTTCAAGGTTAAAAGTCCAAATTTTGCTTGTTTATGCTGTTATTGGCTGTAACTTTGTTATTTTTGAATGGATTGTCTTCAAACTTGAACATAATAATCTTCAAGGATATCCCTTAAAAATAACATGACAGACCTTGACCTTCACTCATCAATGACCTTGACTTTAAAGGTCAAATTATTGAAATTTTCATGTTTTTGGCTATTATTGGCTGTAACTTTGTTATTTTTGAATGGATTGTCTTTAGTCTTGAACATAATAATCTTCAAGGATAACCCTTAAAAATAACCCGACAGACCGTGACCTTCACTCATAAATGACCTTGACTTTGAAGGTCAAATTATTGAAATTTTCATGTTCTTTGCTATAATTGGCTGTAATTGTTATTTTTGAATGGATTGTCTTCAAACTTAAACATAATAATCTTCAAGGATAACCTTTAAAAATAACCAGAGAGACCTTGACCTTCACTCATTAATGACCTTGTCTTTGAAGGTCAAATTATTGAAATTTTCATGTTTTTGGCTATTATTGGCCACGTGACCACGTGACTCTACCACATGACTTCCATGTGAAACCACCACGTGACTCCACTACGTGACTCCACCACGTGACTACCACATGACTTCCACGTGACACCACCATGTGACTCCACCACATGACTTCCACGTGACACCATCACGTGACTCCACCACATGACTCCACCACGTGACTCCACCACGTGACACCACCAAGTGACACCACCACGTGACTACCACATGAATTCCACGTGACTCCATCACGTGACACCACCACGTGACTTCGAATTGGGTGTCTCTATTCATATATATATATATATATATATATATATATATATATATATATATATATATATATATATATATATATATATATATAGATTAGTAAATTTAAAATTTATATATATAAAATATATAGACAAAACTAATGTGACAAAACAGAATTATTAATTTTATAAAAAAGGAAACATTAATATTTTGTTCAAACATTTCTTTGTTTGCTTTTAGAGAAAGTAAAAAGTCGAGCGTTGCCCCCGCCCGGCGGTGGCTCTTGTTAATTTATGTTCAGCGCCCTGTTTTTGTCGTATTTCATTTCTTAATCGACGATGAGAACAGGTCTACGGAAAGTATTTTCTGAAAATTAATTAGATATTCGCACTACATGTATACTATCATTTTTCATCATTAAAAATCTTTAAATTTTCAAAATCGAGTTACAAATGATAAAACTACAAATTATTTTGTGAAATAGGTGTCCCTTTTGTAAAGGTTTTTTACGCTTTGCACCCATAAATTTGATACAGATATATGTGCGACATGATGCTTCAATAGTATTGAAGAAGTTTTTCCTAAAAAAGTATTAAAGCAGGGATGAGAAAATTTAGGTCAGATTATCGCTAAAGTGTAGAGTGAAAGTTTGAAAAAAAACACCAAAAATTACTTAGAACATGCAGAACCACAAGTTACTAAAAGCATAGCTATAGCCAAAATGAATTTTGTTATTCAAGATCAAAGACTTCTATATTTTTGCAAAAAATAGGGATGATATTGAACATACAGGAAAATATAAGAAATTATTTCAGATTTTATGTAAATAAAGTATCATGTTCATGTAGCTTCCGCAATGAAAACTTTTAAATTAAATGATATATTGGACATAACGCAATGCATTCTAAATAATCAAAAGCATCAAAACATTGCTTTAAACCGCGAATGATCTGAGTTTCTTTTATTTGACGTAAGTGATTATTCGGTAAAATAGTTATATATTACAAAAATTATCTCTGTTGAAAAGACTGCCAAAAATACAACTGCGTAGTATCATATTTTATTTTCAACTGCATCGTATCATTTCATACAAATTATTATTTTTCTTGGAAATAAACATCTCTTTTTAATGAAATTTTAATAAATGATGCATAATTATATTTTCAAGTTTATGGTAAACTTTAAAATGAGTATATAATTGAATTGAAGGAAAAAACGATGGATAATGCAATGTGAACTGTGTCATATCCACAAAATTCCATAACAATTCTGGCCTGCTTCGAGTTGCAAGTTCGCAATAACTTTTGTTTAAAAAAATAGTTGTACAAGCAACATATAAAGAAAGAAGCAGAAAAAAGTTAAGCGTGTTAATACATATATTTGGTTTTCAGTCATTACCAACAAAAAGACTTATTAGCAAAGACATACATTATTCGTTCCAAGATGGCGACGTTTGTTTACATTTTGTAGGATAAGACGCAATTTTGATTCCCAGCACTGAGAGATGAATCTTAGAAATTTGGCATGGAATTGTCTAGTGGACTTCTACAATGATTGTTCAAATTAGAGCCCTGGGCTCTGAACTGGTCCCACATCGGGCATCATGTGTTTTATCTATATACATTTAGTAAAATTAATTAAGAAAAACTACTCCTCCTAAACTACATGGGTAGAGCTTATATAATTTGCATTAAACATTGTTACGTGAACCTCTACCAACATTGTTCAAAAGATATGGGGTCAAAATTTGATTCACCTGGGTTTTCCTTGTATATAGTAAAAACTTGAAAATATCTTTGATTCAGCAAATGCAGGAGCTTAGATATATTATATGAAATATTGTCTATCAGACAGCTACCAAGTGTTTCAAATAAGGCCTTGGGGTTTGTATTATCGCAAAGTTCAATTGTATAGAAACAAAATTGTGATCTTCTGTTCCTGGGATGGCATGGCACTTTTTCACAAATGCAATCTTGTTTAACCTTAAATATAAGTTACCAGAATTTTAACTACACCATTATCTTTTAAATAGGTGATTTATATGAGAATGCTACAGAGCTCATGGATGCAAAAAAAGGCAGAAATGATGAAATCATTTATGAAAATCCAGAACCAGCGAAACAAACGGCAAAGAAGGTATTTTGAGATTTTGTTTTAAATGATATTGGAGTGAAAACATTTTTACTTTAGCTCATTTATAAGTAGAGAGTGAGCATCTGTATGCTGCAAGGCATTAAGATTTCTGTTAATGTTTTAAATTTTCAGTTTACCTTAGCATTTGTTATAATAATAATAATAATTACCACATTTCTATAGCGCCCTTCTGAATAAATAAATGTTCAAAGGCGCTCTACAATGGAATTATATACATTTACAATAACTTTAAAAACAAAAAAGTAATAAAAAAAATAACACACATTTATGTATACATTTACAAAATATAGAATATAGCATGATTAATCTAAAAGTCTAAAACTCAGTCGATCAAATAAAAAAATGTACATGAAGAATAATCTAAGACTTGAAAATAAAATACAAAGAAACGTTAAAACTATCAAAATTTAAAAACAAATACAAATCAAGATAAGACAACTGAAATCTAAATCCATTTTGATAAAAACAGTAATTTATAATGGAAATGTGATTCAAAAATAGACTATTATATTTCAAATGTGTACCCAGATATCTCATAACAAAAGACAGCACGCCAATTCACAGTGATGACAAATACAGCACAGTTAGTTACTATAAATTTTCTGGAAAAAATGTGTTTTTAAAGATTTCTTAAAAACATCTACTGTTTTTGAGTCTCTGATACTGTCTGGGAGAGCATTCCACAGTTTAGGTGCCACCGAAGAGAAACTGCGTTCACCATATCTTACAGTCCTACTTTTGGCAACAACAAGTTGCTTTGAAGAGTTCTTTGATCTTAAGTTTCTTGTTGGTTGATATAGCGCCAGTAAATGTTTAAGGTAAATTGGTGACTGGTCATGTAGGGCTTTATAAGTTTGCATAAGGATTTTAAAATCTACTCGATAAACCACAGGAATCCAGTTTAGTTTCTTCAATACTGGAGTGATATGTTCAAATCTGGATGTTCCTGTGATGATGCGGGCAGCAGATGTTGTAGTTTATTCATTGTCGTTTTAGGTACACCATATAAAAGTGCATTACAATAATCCATGCGTGAGGTGACTAAAGAATTCACTAAAGATTTTGTTGCATCAGTATTTAGGTATTTCCTTATATGACCAATCTGGCGTAGTTGTCCATAACAAGATCTACAAACTGAGTAAATGTGCTTTTCCAGGGTCATGTTGTTGTCCAATACAGCACCAAGATTTCTTACACTATTTGATGGTTTTATGTTTTCATCTCCGATAGTCACAGTTATTGTCTCAACATGCTGTTGGTTTCTCTGAGATGTAAATATAATTACTTCTGTCTTGTCAGCATTGATTTTTAACATATTATTGTTCATCCATGTTACTATTTCCGCAAGACAGCTTTGAACTCGACCTAAAGAGTCATTCTTAGAGACTGGACATGTTGGTTTAAAGGAGAGGTACAGTTGTCCATCGTCTGCATAATAATGGTATTCCAATCCATGTTTCTTACATATTGCACCAACAGGTTTAGTGTACATAGTAAAAAATTTTGGTCCCAGAACGGATCCTTGAGGCACACTGTAGCTCAATTTGACAGGGTTTGACAGTTCACCATTTATTGTGACAGTCTGGTGTCGATCACTTAGATATGAACGTATCCATTCTAACGGTTTTCCAGAAATGCCAAAGTTGGTGTTAAGGCGCTGTAGAAGTGTAATGTGGTCGATTGTATCGAATGCAGCTGATAAGTCCAGCATAACTAACATGGTAACATCGTTGTTGTCTAGTGAATTCAATATATCATTTTGAACTTTTATTAGTGCTGTTTCAGTTGAATGGAATTTTCTATATGCAGATTGATGGGGATAGTGAAGCTCGTTTGTTGTTAAATATCCTTCCAGACGAGAGTCAACTATTTTCTCAATAATTTTAATTTTTATGGCAGGATGTCTGTCAAATGCTGGTCAACAATTCCTTCAAACAACATATACTAAACAATATGGTACATATGTAGCTTTTGACCAACCAGTAATGATCTTTGGGGGGGGTCCTCTGCTCAAGTTTTGTAAATGGTTCTAGTCTTATGCATTAGTAAATCACAGGAGCCGAAATAGATTTTTGATTGAAATCTCTAAAATATTCTCCTCAGTTAAACTATGCTAAGGGCTTAATGTATTTAGCATGTAATAAACTTTGTTGTCCTCTACAAAAGTTACATGAAACATGCCCATTTGATCAATTTGCAATGCTCTCTGGTCACTAAGATTAAATAGATGTCTATTGAAAGTAACGTGTAAGTCTTCTTGCATAAAACTCACAATACCAATAGTTTAAGTAATGAAAGTACTACTTAGTACACATTGGCAAAATTTATACAAATTATGCTTTTTGGGCCAAAATAGTATGCCCATTTGTCGATTGCTTTATACAACTTTTACCCATTTATTACAAAAATAACAGATTATCTATTTGGCAAATTGCGTTTCCTTAAGGAGCTCTATAAAAGGTTGAAATTATGATGTATTCTGCTAGGGTTAAGTGCCTAATTTGTCTCAATTCACTTCTTGATTGAACACTATATGTAGTAATTGATCTCAGGTGTGCAATCTAGGGCGGAAAGCCCAAAGCATGAAAAATTGTTTCATAGTTAACCTCTATAAAGATTGTACAAATTATTGTTTTAGGGTTAAAAAGTATACAATTAAAAATCTCTTAAACATCATGGGTCTACAGTTCTGAAATTTGTTTTAAGGTTAGTCATGACTAGAAGATGACCCCTATTGATTTTAGGTCAGTCTGTCATAAGTCAATACACAGATATGTAAGTCAGTACACAGATATATAAACAACGGATAGGAAACTCCAAAAATAGACGAGAGTCCGATTCAGAACCACAATTCTTTGCGCGCTTCGGTGATGATCGGATTTTCCCGCTAGTCTCTGATTTTCACGCTATCGTTTAGCTGCGGCAATATCCGTGAATTATTGCTGACATTGCCGACATGCATTTTCATCAGAGAAATATTTGTGTGGAAAAGTGTGTTTTGTACGTTTTAAAATAAATAAATATTGCTTCTTATATAAGTAAAAAATGTTAGTCTTTTTTGTTGATGTACCTCAAGGATTTCAATATGGCTGTATTTGGCTACTTTTACCCAGGATGCATCAATTCTCGCAAAATCTCGCGACATATGATAATTTGCGGGAACACAATTCCGCCGATACTGAGTTTAACTGTGTGACGTCAAAGTCTCTTCTCCATCTTATATTTAACTCCATGGTCAATATCACATTACCAATATCTCCCAACTCGAAACTATAGTCTAAAGAGAGCATTGTAACTTTCTGTCCTCAGGTGAGAGCCTTGTGACAACCTTGTTTTGACAATTTCTTGGCTCTTGATATTTGATTTAAAAGGCGAATGGTAACCTAGTGGTAAACATTCCTGCTCCATCAGACTGTTAATTCCTCAAAGTGGTTCAAATAAGCCTTAAATTTTAGTACTAATTAGGCAGAAATAATTATGTTTGAATGATGATAAACCAGGGCTTTCCTATTTAAAAGTTTTACTATTTTCAGAATGTGAACAAAGATGGGCTTATTTATGCTGACCTTACATTCAATGATCAACCTAAAGGCCAGAAGAAGCTTGTTATCCATGGACTGGACGACATGACAGAGTATGTGCAGGTGGACTTCACAAAGAAAGCTGAACCATTACCAGATAGTGATGACGAGAATAACACACCAAAATAATTAACTACAACTAACTATACATACATTCCAATGACTTCCATATGATAGTATTTTTGTTACATATATACATGTTTATCAGATTTTTTTTTAATATATAAAGTATTTTTGATAATTTTATATTTTTTCTATATTTATATTATACAAATGCCTAACATGTTGTTGTTCTTGTTGTTTTGTGAATATGCAATTATCCTCAAATTATGTAAATTTATTTGTTCAAAGTAAATCTGTTACGTAATATTTTTTCTTTTTATGCAAATGAAAGCAATATGACCATCTATTTTAAATATTTTCCATTTGAAGTCTAGACATTGGTAGATTATATATATATTATATATAAAATGTTGACTAAGAACTTTCAGAATACTTAAAAGTTGTTTTTTTAAGGCTTCCTATGGATATACAATTGCTTGTTTATTTCAATATGAACAAATTAATTTTCAGACTAAATGCTGTTATCCAGTAAATATTTCTTATTTGTAAGTGAGGAGGTATGTGAGAGTCCAAAGGACATTGCTAGCTTTTGTTATTTTAATCAGATTTTATACAAATTTCATTCATCATAAAAATCTTTTGCTAGACCATTGTTTTTATAGCTTAATTATCATCAAATATCATTTAAAAACTTATTGACAATTTATTAGTGTGAGCTGTATATGAATAAACAAAGTTATGATATGATTTAAGTATTTCGACTGAATTGCTAACCTTGATTTAGTCCTCTTTAATTAAGCAGTCCATTAAATTATCTTTGATAAAATTCAAACACTTATTTGGTAAGTGTTCATTAGTAAGTACATCATTAAATTGGTCATATTATTATGTTACAGATGAACACTTATGGACACAAAATGTAATGATTGAAAAAAATGTGTTAAAGGTAATTTTATTAGAAACCTGTTTGCCATTTTTTTTCTTAGCAACTATAATTTAACAGATTTTGGTACACTTCACAGAATTGATTTGATCCTTATATGATACTTAGATGACACATTTGCATAAATAGTTTCAATGCTCAAGTAGGTCATGTAGTATACTTGTAAACAAATTAACATATAAAATGTAGATTCACTAACACATAATTTCAGCCCCCTCATAAATATGTATATCTTTAATGAAGTGTATGCTTGTTAAATAGAGGTAAATAACACCTACACAAACAACCAAATGAACCTGCAAGAAATGTGTATGTATTTCCACTTGTAAAACATTATCAAATTTAAGTCTTTATATCAGAAACTTAATGTCATAAAAGCTTAATTATTAAGTATTTTATATTAGTCGACTACTACAAAATTTAAATATAAGTTTAAGCCTGGTGTCACATTTGAAACATTGGTTTGTATAGCAAACACACATTATTTCGTTCCTGGAAACTACGTTACCCAGAGTATATTTATTTAGCAATTAGCTGAACGTAAACAGTTTATGTCCTCTACACTTATTTTACCAGGACTTGCATAGGGAATGCCTTTAAAATCTAGTTTTGTAAAACATTTTAAACTACAGCTGAGATATTTGAGCATAAGCCAGTTGACTTCTAAAAAGTTGAATGACTTACGGCCCTGACTTTAAGGTTACTTTTGTAACATTGATTTATATTGGACAGTTACTTAAAACTCCACTACTCGGACAACACAATGTCTATAGCTTAAATATTTGGGATCATCTTGTTTCCACAAAAACTTGTAATGCATTTATATCTACTAGTGTGAAAGCACATGACCAGCAGCATAGATATTTATCCACTCCTACTGGGTTTACACTAAAACTAAATCAAACCTTCACCATGAGTCAAAGATTGCTTGCTTCCAGTGAGATCCAATTATTTTTTCCTGAAGATTTAAGGCTATTTAGAACAATGAATTGCAGCAGCCCTTTTGTTTGTTTGTCAGACTGGTTCTTATGTCAATTTTATGTTTTGTAAATTTATTTAATTATTTAATTGAAATTTAAAAAAAAGAACATAACAACTTCATTGTGTGTGTCAAAGTTAAATTAAATTTTGTGTATGAAACTTTACATATTTGACACTTTTGTTACTTTAAAAACATTCCATTCCAGTATTTTGTATGTTAACACTGATATGCATAATTCCATATATTTGTTAATGAATTTGTAATTGTTAAAATAATTTGACAATAACCAATTTCCTTAATATCCTTAATAATGCACATGCACTGAACGGAGAAAAAAACAACTACTAAGCAAATATTTCACAAATATCTCCGCTTTATATCATTTAAAAGAAAACCAAGCAATTACAATTTACTCTCATTGCATGTCAATGTTGGTATGATTGATGAACATGTAATTTAAATGATAGTTATTTATCCATATATCATCTTTGAATGCTTATTATTTAGTAATCTTCAACAGAAATTATTGCAATAATTATATGCTTGTGATTTGAAATTTTACATACTTAAGGTATGATTACACTAAAGGCAGTTACACACATAAAAGGCTAAAAAGCAAAATATAAAGCAGAACTATACTAAATTTCTTTCTTTGTGTTTTAATAAGATATGATAAAAAATTAGATGGTAATTGTCATTTTAAGACTCCTGTATGGAACCCCTTTTAATATCTCACCAATTTGTGGTCATGTGAGGTACCACCTGTCATGAATTCTTTGTCTGAAATACATTTTTATACCCTTGAAACAAAGTTTTGGGGGATATATAGGAGTCACTCCATGGTCAGTCAGTCAGTCGTTCTGATTGTCCAGCGGTCTGTTGCATTTTCCTTGTCAGGAGGATAACTTGAAGACTTATGGCTGGAATTTAATACAACTTAATACAATGGTCAAGCTTATTGAGAAGTGCAGTGCACAAAAACCATAACTCAATTTTGACTAATTAAAGAGTTATTGCCCTTTGTTACTTTTCCATGTCAGGAGCACAACTTGAAAACTACTGGTTAGAATTCAAAACACCTTCATACAATAGTCAAGCACAATAAGAGAAAGTACTGTGCACAAGAACCATAACTCTTTCTAAAGTAAGTACTGAGTTATTTCTCTTTGTTACTTTTCTGTTCCTTTTTTGTGTCCCGAGCATAACTTGAAAACTACTAGTTGGAATTCAATTCAACTTCATACAATGGTCAAGCACATTTAGAAAAAGTGCAGTGCACAAGAACCATAACTCCATCTTGACTAATTACAAAGCCATTGCCCTTTGATACTTTTTCTTGTCCAGAGCATAACTTGAAAAGTACTGGTTGGAATTCAAAACAACGTCATACAATGGTCAAGCATAATAAGAGGAAGTGCTTTGCAGAAGAGCCATAACTCAATCAAAAGTAAATATAGAGTCATTGCCTCTTATTACTTTTTTGTTGCATTATCCTAGTCTGGAGCATAACTTGAAAACCACTAGTTGGAATTCTAAACAACTTCACACAATGGTCAAACACATTGAGAGAAGGTACAGTGCACAAAAACCATAACTCCATCTTGACTAATCACAGATTGCCCTTCATTACAAGAAGTACAGTGCACAAAAACCATAACTCAATCTTGACTAATCACAGATTGCCCTTCATTACTTTTTCTTGTCTGGAGCATAACTTTAAAATTAATGGTTGGAATTCATACAATGGTCAAGCACAATGAGAGGAAGTGTAGTGCACAAGAACCACAACTATATACAGAGTAATTATAGAATGATTGCCCTTTGAAACTTTTCCTTGTCGAAAGGCATAACATGGAATTCAACAAGTTTGTACAATGGTAAAGTATATTGACAGAAATCGCAGTGCACAAGTACCACAATTTTTTCTTGAATCATTTTAGAGTTATTGATATTTGTTATTTTTTATTATCCAGTGAATACCTTGAAAATTAATGGTTTGAATTCAATTCAATTTCATACAATGGTCAAGAGCATTAAAATGAAGTGCAGTGTTCAAGAACCATAACTCTACTTGGACTAATTACATTGTTTTTGCCCTATGTTACTTTTTTTGGTAAAAAAAACTAATGTTTGGAATTCAATGCAACTTCATATAATTGTCATCCACTGTGAAAGGAAATGCATCATACAAGAACCACAACTATCTTTAAAACAACCATAACTCTATTTCAATTTTTACAAGGTATTCTGTTACTAGTAACTTCCTCATTTCCGAAGCAGTCTTGCAGGGTTATTTATCACATTTAGTAATAGCTCAAGTTGTATTTTATTTGACTGGTATCACCTGCAGATCTTGGGTTTCGCTTTTGGAAAGGCCTGGTTTCATTATGCTTTACTGGGTTATTATCCCTTTAAGGGCCAATATAGGCATACTCTAATCTGATAGCAGTTTCATTATGAATAATAAATTTAAACATGAACAAAAGTTGCATTATCTTTAAATCGGCCATATCTTATATTGGCTATTTAAATGGTCAGGACAGTTTAAACATTTATTTTTAGTAATGATTTAATTTTTGTTCATATTTAAAACAAAGTTGACCAAAACTTAAACCAGCAATATATTAATCGATTCCATCAATTGACTGACCAAATACTGCTACATGGGTGCTACAGTTGTGCACTTAAGGAAACAGTGGACTTAAGGAAACAGGCATGTTTTATATTAATTACAAGAATAGAAAATCTTGTAAGTATCCCAGGGAAAAAACATAATTTCATACATAGTTAATGGTTCTTTTATTAGTCAAAATAAAAAATTGCATTATAGTGGTATCATGGCAGTAAAGTTTTCAAAATTAAAGTTTTGATAAACAGTTGAACTAAGTGATTTAGATCTCTCATGGCCCACATCTTGATTTTATTTCAATTGGCACAATGACAAAGGTGGTTTTCTTATTTTTATCATGTTTTGTTAATGTTATTTCTTTTAAAAAATAAAGTAACATACTGAAAATGTAGCCTCACTTTTCACTTAAATAATCCTTTTGTTATGCTTCCCAAAGGGTGTGAATATAGATCCCCCTTTGTCCTTCCATATGTCCTTTTTAGCACACCTGTCACAAAGTGACAGGGTGAGCTTTTGTGATCGCTTTTCGTCCAGCGTCCGTCCGTCGTCCGTCCGTGAACTTTTACTTTAAATGACATCTCCTCATAAACCACTAAGCCAATTTCATCGAAACTTCACAGGAATGTTCCTTTGGTGGTCACCTTTAAAAATTGTTCAAGGAATTTAATTCCAGGCAGAACTCGGGTTGCCACGCCTAATCTTGGAGTTATTGCCCTTGGTTCATTTTTACACTTTGAACTTTGGCTGGGACATAACTCTTGAAACTATAAGAGATATCAACATGAAACGTTGTAGGTAGATATATCTCATTGAGTAGATGTGCAGTGCTTAAAAACCATAACTCTGCCTTGCTTAATTTGGATTAATTGCCCTTTATTCATTTTTACACTTTAAACATTGTCCGGGGCTTAACTCAAACTATAAGAGATATCAACATTAAACTTTGAAGACAGATAAATCTCATTAGGTAAATGTGCAGTGCACAAGAACCGCTACTCTGCCTTGCTTATTTTGGAATTTTTGCTCTTTGTTCAATTTTACACTTTGAACTTTTCCCGGTACATGACTATTAAACAATAAGAGATATCAATATGAAACTTTGTAGGTAGATTGATCTCATTGGTTAGTAGTGCAGTACAAAAGAACCATAAC